AGGGTTCACTGACAAAATCAAGGTGAACAAGGCTTGGAAAGGGATCACGGTGAAACTGAACTCACGTTGAAAACACAGACTCAAGTTTCATTTAAATTGTAAACACCGTGCTTTCCCTCTTGATACTTTTTTTTTTGAGCCTGTTATTTTATTAGAGGTGTTATGTTTCAAAAACCAATGTCTAAATAAACATTTGCCTTTGAAATCTTTACTTGGATCTTTTTAAGTTGTCTTCAGTGATTTTTATTTTTCTGTGAGAAAAATGCTACAATAATGTGGTGCATTTGATGTTTCCTTTTCGAGAAACTGTTTCTATACTCAACTGGTGGAACAGTACCAAAGGAGAATCCCTTGGTCCATGCCACATTCCCATGAAGATATAAGGCTTGATCTCTGTAGGGGACATCTGCAGTGCCTGACACACCTCCCAAACGATGTGGATAAATATACACAAATCCAAGACTTCTCATCTTTATTTTCTTAAACATGTGAAAAACAAGCAAGTTTTTCAGCTGATTCCAGGTTCTCCTAATATCTATTCGGACAACTAGAAAAGCTAGAATTGTATTGATTATGGAGGATGATGAAACAGAAATAGGAAACACCACTTGTTCTGTTTTGTTCATTCTGGAACAGCCATAGGAACCTGGGAAACCTTTCAGATCTTTTTGCAATATGGTGTGTTGTGAACTGGATACATCTTTCCTAGTTTCAAAACTTCAAAGCCCGTGTCTAGAAAATGCAAGTAGGCAGTCCTTGCAATGGCAGGGTATTTTTTTTTTTCTGGACTAGTTCTATTGAAAACAGACTTTTCTCTGTTCTCAGAAGAGTCACTATTGAAGTTTATGAACTAAATTTCACATTATAAACAAAATCTCTGTGTTTTTCTACTTTTTGCAGCCCTACAAGTACTACTGCCGGAATGACCTTGTGAGTGAAGCCATAGGCTCTGAGCGCCACCATGTTTCTCCAAGTGGAAGATTTTTTTTTCATTTTCAATTACAACAAAGTACAGATACAATTTGCACAGAAGAGCTTATTCAAAAGTCAAATTCCAACTGCAGCCTTTTCCTCCAAGGTATGGGAAACCTTTTCTTTCCGAGCTCCTCAACTAACAATGCTCTGCATAAGAAATTGGAAGAGCTCTTCATGTTTCTGCATTTTAAAAATATATTCTCTATTCTGTAGGACGTGGAAATCTCTGGATATGACCATGACACCCAACACCCCTGTGCTGGCTACTCTTCTGTCAACTTGACATATAAACTAGAGTTATCAGAAAGGATGGAGTCTCAGTTGAGCAGATACCCCCATTAGATCCAGCTGTAAGGCATTTTTAAAAATTAGTGATCAGTGGGGGAGGGCCCAGACCTTTGTGAGTGGATCTGTCACTGGGCTGGTGGTCCTGCATTCTGTAGGAAAGGAAGCTGAGTGAGCCAGGGAAAGCAAACCAGTAAGCAGTATCCCTCGATGGTCTTTACATCAGTTCCTGCCTCCAGGATCCTGCTCTATTTGAGTTCCTGTCCTGACTTCCTGCAATGATGTATAGTGCTATGGAAGTGTAAGCTGAATAAACACTTTCCTCTCTGACTTGCTTTTTGGTCATGGTATTTCATCACAGCAATAGAAACCCCCAAATTGTTTAACCCACCTCTCTTATTCTCCTGAACCTCTTGCATTTCTCCCATACTCAAATTTGTTTCATAGACTAGAGGGAGCCATCCAGGGAAGAGTCAGTCACAATGTATTCATTCATGTCTGGGAGGACATGCCTTTGAATCCCACATGACTGTGCAAATGGAGATTGTATTGGAACTCACTGCAGAGTACTCGAGATACAGCTGGACATTGAGACCTTTGGGAATTGCAAGAGGACCTGGGTGCAAAGACAGTGAGAAAGGCCGGCAAAACAAGAAAGGTTTAGGATTGTAATTTGTAGAACAATAATGCTTTTGACAGAAACTTGGTGTATTATTTTACTCCTTCCTTCCCCTTTCCATTTTCCCTTCGACCTTTCTTTGTCTCATATACCCCAGGCTGTTCTCAAACACTGTGCAGTCAAGGATGACCCTGAACTTCCAATCCTGCCTCTGCCTCCTGATTGCAGGCATTCACCACCATATCCAGTTTCACATACTGCTAGGGATGGAGCCCAAGGCTTTGCGCATGCTAGGCAAGCATTACAACTGAGCTACATCCTGAGTCCTAAAACTTGGCATTTTATGAGGAATATTTAGGCTTTAAAAGGTGAGGTTTTTTTTCTACAACTGCAATCTACCATGCTGATGAGTTACTCATCATTCTCAAAAGGAGACTTTGCAAAGATCCAGTCTTGACTCACGGTATTAGACAAGAAAAGAGTTTCAGGCTAGGAATGTAGATCAGTGGTCAAGAACTTGCCTGACTCCCACAAAGTCCTGGTTTCCACTGACAGGTGCAGTGAACTGCTTTTCAGGTACCTTAGAAGGGATGTGTAAAGGCAGGAAAGTAAACAAGAGAAACAGAGGAGCATACTGTTGGCAGGAATGTAGCTAGAAGAGCTTGGCACTCTTTACCGGGGATATCAACACATTAGGGTCCATCAAAAGTTGAATAAAATACTCAAAAGGCTTGATATAGCAGCTCAATATAACATTCTAATTTATCCAGAACCACCTTTTAATCGCAACTGTGAAACTGCTCATTACCAGATGGCATCCTGAGTACATGTAGAAGACATCCGCATACATTGTCCAAAGTGGGTTTTTTCTTTCTTTCTGGATTTCATGTCAGTCTATTTCTTCCAGTGGTAGTGTTCCCTCTTCACATCTTCCATTATTTTTACATTAAATTCTAATTAGTCCAATACAAGTATGCTCCCCTTCAAACTCCAAAATTATTAATTAGTCCCAGCCCCTTATGGGCAGCCTGAAGTCTCATAGTCTCTACAGGCCACTAGATGCCAGCACTGTATAGGACTATTGGGTAAAATTTAAGTCCTAACACCAACTTATGTTATTTTAAGAGTCAATACAGTTAATTTCTGGATAGAGTTTATCAATTTCTTGGTCAGTTGATTCCCATTTCTTCTTCTAAGTTTCTTCCTTTTGCTGGCAATAGCACCACTAATGAAGGTCTGTCGATAGTAAAAATTTCTCTTTTGAGCCTTTCTGAATCTGAAATGTGTTATTTTGTCTTCACTTTATAATGTCAGCCTCTTCACAGTTATTTCCTTGTATGAGTGTGGAAATACACCATTAACTTCTGCTACGGATGTATTTTTTTTCCTCTGATGTTATATTCTAAGATGTGTGCTCTCAAGCTGCTGGTTATTTTCTTGGTAAAGCCTTTTCTTACTGAAAAAAAAATGCAGAAAATTTAAGATCAGGGCCGTGTTCGTATTCCTTCCCTCCCTCCCAGGATGGAGGTGATGTTTGTAGTAGCAGTTCAGTAAGAGCTATGACTTCAAAAGAAGCGTTTTCACCAGTGTGACCATGTGCTAGAGCATGCGAGTTAATTGGGAGAGTGGATCCATCTCGCTTTATTAACGGTGTGCTCGGGTACGGACTTTTAAAAGAAATTGATCTTTCCTGGCAATCAGCCAGAATTTCAACCTGAGATCTCACGTCTTTCTTAATTTTATGTAGTACTCTGTTATCTTTTTATTTAGATTTTTTTTGGGGGGGGGAATTTCATACATGAGTACTGTTTCACATCAAATTCTACTCCTCTCTCTCTTTCCTCCAACTCCTCCCATGTCCCTACCCCACTCCTCAAATTTTACCTCTTCTTCTTTATTATTACATTATTATGTGCATGTGTACATATTCATTATGTATGTATGTATTTACCTACCTACCTATCATCTATCTATAGCCCTCTGAGTCCAGTTAGTGTTACTCACATATATATGTGTTTAGTGCTGACCTAGGATCCGATAATATTGGTGGCTCATCCATGGGGAAAACTGGTTCTCCATCTCTCAGAAGCCATTGACTGCATACAGCTGTTTATCCAGGGGTTGGACCTTATGAAAGTTGCCACATTCACACTGGCATGTCAGCTGGTGTTCTCATGATGTTGGTCTTGTTTAGACAGCCATATTGTTTGAATCTCATGGGTACATCTTCCCTGTCTTGCCTAGAAGGCATTATGTAGCCACAGGTGCCCTGGTCCCTTGGGTCATACAAACTTTGCACCCCACTTCTGTGGTGTTCTCTGAGCTTTAGGTGTAAGGGCTATTCTGTAGCTCTATTCATTAGGGATGGTATCCCATGGTCACTTATTCTTTGCATATTGTCCAGTTGTGAATCTGTATAGTCTCCATCTACTACAGAAAGAAGCATCTTTGGTGAAGGCTGAGAGCTACATTTATCTGTCAGTATAAGAATAAGTATTTAGATTAGGACACTGACTTAAGAAATGGCAGGAGGAGGTTCTTTAGGGTCTATGGCCTCCTAGGCTTAGGTGATTGGCTAGGTTTCTGGTACTAGGCATAAATTTCCTCCTCCTAAGTCCTTAAGTCCAATTAGACAGTTGTTGGTTACTCATAAGTTAAAAGTGCCGTGACTGCACCATTGGAAATAGCTCACCAGACTGGCTACTGTTGTGGTTAATAGGCTTTACAGTTGGGTAGGGTGACTGATTGCTTTTCTCCCTTAGTAGCCGGCATATCACCTTTGGAGAGCATATGAGCAGTCCTCAGGGAGGCTTCTAGGTCTGTGTCAGCTCGATTTTTCCAAGTCCTGAGTCCCAAGAACATAGTGTCTTCAGAACAGGGTCTTGCCTTCAAGTTGTGAGAGGCAAACAAGGACAGTGGCAATAGTCTACACTGCTTTGGAGGTCTCTTGGAGGCCTCTGACCAACAAACCCAAAGGGAGATTTCCTATGACTGGTAATGGGGTTTTGTTTGACAGTCTATGGCTTTTGTGGGGAGTGTTATCATACTAGTATAACTCCATTGAAGCTACATATATGTAGAAACATGCATTTATTTGTATTTATATATATATTTTAAGTAAGCTTATAAAATGTTTCCCTATGACTTTTACAAACATCCCTAATGTTATTTATCTTTCCTCCTTCCTCTCCCTCTGTATTGCCCTCTCTCTCTACTCCCCAGTTAAAATCCCCTTTGTAGTTAAAGCCCCCCCACCCCATCATAGCACCTGTGTCCGGCTATCCACCTTTCTATACCCATCCACAATGTTCCCCTTTTACTTTCCTGGCTTCTCTGGTTACTTCAGGTTGTATACTCAGATCTAAAGATTTGGGGCTAGGATCCACAGATAAGAGAACAGGTAATGCTTGTTTTTCTGGGTCTGAGTTACCTCAGTATAACATTTTCTAGCTCCATCCATTTATATGCAAATTTCATGATTTCCTTTTTCTTTACAGCTGAATTGAGTTGCATTGTGAGTATGTACCATGTTTTTATTATTCATTCATCAGTTGAAGGGGATTTAGGTTGTTTCCACTTCTTAGCTGTTGTGAAAAGTGTCAATGAATATGGCTGAACAAGTATCTCTTTAATAGGATACAGAATCCCTTGGATATATATATACCAAGGGTAATTATCTTCGTGTTGTGTGTGCACGTGGACATGCATGTACCATGGTGCATGTGTAGAGGTCAGAGGACAATCTCTGTGTCAATCATCACCTTCTACCTTGTTTGAGACAAAGTTTTGTTCATCAGGCTGCCTGGGCTGTGAACTCTTGGGGATTCTTCCGTCTTTGCTGCCTAACTCACTGTAGATGTGCTGGGATTATGGATGCAAGCCACTGCACATGGTTTGACCTGGGTGCTAGGGATCTGAACTCTGTTCCTCATGCTTGTGTGGCAAACGGTTTACTCATTGACCCCTCTCTCCCGTCCTTGCATATTTTGGTGGTATCTTTATATATATGTTAAGACTTCTTTATAATTTTTTATTTGCCTTCTTATCATTATTATTATTATCATTTTTAATTATTGTTATGTTTCATGCAATATGTTTTGATGATGTTTTTCCCTCTCCCAACTCTTTCCAGATCTTCCCCATCTCCCTACCTATTCAACTTTATTTTTTTCTTCCTCTTAAAAAAACACCACAAAAACCCAAAAATGAAAATCAAAATAAAGAATCAGCAAGAAAAAATGCCAAAACAAAACAAAATGAAATAACCACCCCCAAAGATCCCCAACAACCCAAACCCATGAATTTTGTTTTGTGTTGGTCAATTATTGGGCCTGAGGCCTGCCCTGGAGTGTGGTTTATATACCTAGTAACACTCCATAGGAGAAAACTGATTTGCCTTTTGCCAGCAGGTATCAATTGCAAATAATTTTTTGGTTAGGGGTGGTACCCCATGTTCACTCCCCTGTCTCAGTGCTGGGACCCTATCTGTTCTCCTTCTTCTCTCACTCCTATATCTCTCCTCTCAGGTTTCTCCTTCTATTAATTCTTTCTGCCCACCAGCCCCGCCTATCCTTTCTCCTGACTTGCTATTGGCCGTTCATCTCTTTATTAGACCATCAGGTGTTTTAGACAGGCACAGTAACACAGTTTCACAGAGTTAAACAAATGCAACATAAACAAAAGTAGTATACCTTAAAATAATATTCCCCAGCAAATTCTAGAGTTTTATTCAAGTATTACTTAATGATAGAGAACAAAGGATAGTTGGATTGATTTTTATATTAGTTCTTTGGTTTCTTTGTGTTAACTTTGTCTTCTGATTTAATAGAATCAAAATTAGATACATATGTCTCAATGAAGAGAAGCACTGTAGATATTGTTGTGTCCAAACCCTCGTCAGCTCAGCCACATGGCATGAGGCCTGTTTCTTACAGCTTATTTGATCATGGTGTCTAAACTCCACACAGGCCAGGACTGGGTTCTGTGTCTTGTGGGACTATTTCTTCCCCAGCCACAACTGAGGGTATGTAGGAAGAAGTATTTTCAAACAAGTAGTGCATATCTACACTTTTGTGGAGGCTTGATAGTGATCTTATTAGATCTCCGAGGCCCTATTCTCAATACCCCATGGGCATTCCCAAAGTCCTCTGAGTGTATTACTTACTTGTCATTGTGATTTCATGGAGATCTTGTTTCCTGATTTTAACTAAATTCTATGTGTATATATTTCACCCATTTCTACTGTATTCATTTTGCTGAATTAAGTCCTAGTTGCTGGAAGGGGGAGGATTTTAGTGTGCTGTCAGTATGCTATTCTGATACTCAATTGAAATTGGTAAAGTGCATTCCATTTTCCTATAGTGAAGTTTGTTAGGGTTAAAAAGGGTTTGCTATACAATTGACTTCTTGGGAGGCATAGAATTTAAATTCAGATGATAGACCCATCTTTCCCCATAGAATATCCTGAACCATATGTTCTTCTAGAGTTGACATCTCACTTGGCCATAACTGCCAACTTCAGGTGACCATTAGCAGGCTCTTTCCAGATTGGAGGCAAAGGATTGTAGTGGCCCCAAGTCCAATCATGCATGTCTCCATCACAAGATAGTCAATGGGGAGGCGAGTTGTAGGACAGAGTATTTATATTTTTATTGGAGGACAACTGTTTAATTCATTGGGAGTGAGGCCAATTTCCATTTCACTCATTATGCATGTAAAATTTCGTATGGGAACATGAGTTAATTGGCACCATATTTCTGATGTGTTTCAACTGTGTTGAGGGACCCTTTATAGATCAGATCCCTTGTAGCTGCCCTATGACCCATCTTTTAAGTCCAGCTTGACTTTCTTCTTTGAGTTTCAAGTCATTTTGCTGTGAAGCCTACAGTTTAATGAAAGGAAAATGCCATCCGTGGCTTTTGCCGAAATGGATGTGACGAGCCTTTGAGTTGGTGGACTGTCCTTGTAGTCTTTTCTTGGTAGCAGTTAGTGTAATGCGATCTTTTCATTCTATTAATAATGTGTTCTGCATGGTCACGTTCCTGGTTAATTAGACTTACAGTTTTCAATTAACAGCATTTTTTGATGATACATTATTATCCTTATTAGTGAGGTCATAGACTGTATTATAACAAAGACTGAAGACTCTATTGTCAGCATAATCTTGAAAGAGCCATTTAACTTATGAAATGTATCCGGTGAAGGGACTTCATGCTTGGCTTGATGTATAATTTGACCCCTGTAAAGAACCAAATGATTCCTTTTTTCCCCTATTCATTTCAGAGTGTCCAGCACTTGAGAGAATATGGATATTTTTCTCAGTAAAGATGAATAACACTGCCAGAAAATGAAATTCAAATTTTAAAATTTTGAGCAGATGAGCAGGCAGATATTCTTATTCAACAATTTATCTTGTCTTTGGATGAAATTTATAGTTCTATGTGAAACTGATTAACTCTATTAAATTTTAATTATTGTTCTAAAATCAATACTCTTCTGCACTTCAGGCAATTTCATTCACTCATCTGAATAAAGAGGTGGATTTGGGTGGGAAACAATCTTTTAGTTGACTTTAAAAATACTCTAGTATGGATTGTTGTTGTGCATTTTTTCTTTGTTTTAAATACAAAAAAAGTTAAAGCATGTGATGGGTTTGTGATACATTTTTTAAAGTAAGCCAAGTCAAAGAATTTTATTAAGAAATAATGCAGTTTTAGGGGCTATTGTGGGGATTAACAAGGCAACTCCATGTAGGTAAAAAGGAGGTTTACTTTGGGGTAACTTACAGCCAGTAAAGGGGTTGGTTACAGCATCCGGGAGAGGTGAGGTGTAGTCCAGCAGGCTTCTCTGGAGAACTCTGCTCAGTCTGCCATCCAGCATCCAGGATCATCAGAAACCAAGAGACCTGGCACATCCAGATCTTGGGTCTTAAGCGCTCCTGGCTCGGCCCCGCCCCAGGGGCTTGTCATAGGTAGGTGTGGCAGTTACCAGAAGCCTCACTAGGGGTAGTACTTCCAGGTCAAAGCTGGAACAGCTAAGGGGTAGAGAGAGGGCTCAGCACTTGAGCGCACTGGCTGTTCTTCCAGAGGGCCCAGGCTGAGTTCCCAGCACCCCACACAGGGCGGTTCAGAACCATCTGTAACTGCAGTTCTAGGGGATCTGACGCCCTCTTCTGCCACTTGCATAAATAATAAAATAATATTTTAAAAAAGAGTATGTTCTCAAGAGGCGGGGGAGTGAGCAGATCAGGAGAAGCTTAGACGTTCAAATGGTAATGATGTCGTACAACGCAGACCCTGTACCACAGGCTGTTTGCGTCTGTGTAATACGGACTTGCTCAGATAGGTCCAGTTTATCACGAGTCACAGGTCGCCTTCAGTCATGCTGGAGAGCCTCTGTACCCACGCCAGCAGCGCCAGCCAGTCTTAGTTGGCCTTGGCTGGGGGGTTTGCAGCCTTCCTCTTTGCCAACCCATTTTTTCTTACAGGCTAATTTCTCAGCTTCTTCGTAAGGCCCCCCAGATCTCACTCTCTTCTCTTCTCTCCTGCCTCAACTCTACTGAGATTTGTGGTCCCAGAAATCTTTTCAGGGAGCTAGAGGATGGTCTACCTTCTTAAAGTTCCTGCTATTGAGTACTGTAGCCTCTGGCCCAGAAGAATGATGAAACTTTCCTTCCTGTTCTATCAAACGGCTGGAAACCAGGCTCTGGATCCCTGCAGCAGGAAGTGGTCGGAACCCTTGCATCACGGAGTTCAGTCTGCAGCTGATGTATCCTCCCGGCGACTTCAACTGGTACCAGCAGCTACTGGGGTCGTGTGGGCACCCACCATTTCTGTCCCTGGATGAGGAATCTCACGGACAAACAGACAGCAGTAAGCAAAGTGAGGGGATTTACTAGGGAAAATGCACTTCCAAAGACAGAAGCAAGCAGGCCAGACCTCGGGGAAAGTTTAGAAGAAGCTCAAATGGCCTTGTGGATTGTCTCTAAACTGTGCCCCAGCTTACCGAATGGCTGATGGCACTTTTTTCTTTCCGTCTCAAGGAGCGTTCGAATGATTTGATGTTTTCACGTTTGCTAATACCCTCTGGAGTGTGAGGAGGTGGAGTAAGGCACAGGTGTTCATCTGTAACTTCTGCTTTCTCCATCTCCATTTTTATATTTGCCATCTCCCAAGTTTATTATCGAAATATAAAACCATTAAAACTTCCTGCAGATTGTGCTCCCAGCTCCTTGCCACCTCAGGGTAGCAGTGTCTCAGAGCAGGATGCAACTCAGAGAAGGAACCCAAAGACCCCATGCGAAGTCAGGGTCCCAGCACTACATGTACTATATCCCTGGGCACAGGCCCTCCAAAGATTGGGTGCATCTTTGTTAATTTCTTTTGTACTCTTGCAGGGACTGGAGGACTGCTGACTAAAAAGAAGGAGGAAACGTTGAGTTGTTGTATTTATTTTCTCACTGCTGTGAGCTGACAGGAAGCCACTTGAGGTAGGAGGGATTTATTCTGAGTCACAGGGCAGATGATGAAGTCCATCATGGAGAGGAGGGTGTGATAATGTATGGTTGAACCAGAGAATGTGGCAACTGGTTACTTTGAGTGGGCAGTCAAGAAGCAGAGGGGCAGTCTGAATGTGGCCAGAGTATAATTCTCACGACCTGCCCCTCAATGCCTCACTGTCACCAGCTAGCCATTATCTCTCGAAGATTCCATAGCACCACAAACAGCAGAGCTGGCCGGGGACCAAATGTTCAAGCACATGTTCCTGTGAGTGGTGGCATGCTACATACAAACTGCAATGGTCACTGTCTTCTCGTTGACTGACGCTAGCACAGCTCCATATAAGAAATGTCCTCTACTGGGCTCAACTTGGAGTTGCTTCAGACTATGGCTTGTTTTGTTTCCTTCTGGAGCTTTGCCTACCAGTCTGCTTCTCCCCATGTGAGTTATTTTCTCCTTACTCTGTCTAACCACCTGAAAGGATGGCGGAGCCACTCAATTCATGGCAACGGAAGCATCTAACAAAAGCTGGTGGGCTAGGAAGCGACCAGAGGCCAGGCACAACCGTCCAAGGCCCATTACTAGTTACCCACTTGATGGAGCAGTCAGCCTCTGTCTGCAGTGGTGTTTTCCCAATGGTCACAACAGCCTTTTCTGGAGAGGCATTTACCAGGCAACATATGTATCATTGAATGGGATTTTACATGTCAACTTTTCATGAAAATCTATTTGCATAATTTTTTTCTTCCTCAGACACAGCCCCTCAATTCGTGCGCTTCCTGCTTTTCAGAGTCACAAGCCATGGTCATGATATGTTACCTAGCCTGCCATATTCTGTTGTAGCAATAGAAACTGGGTTAAGACAGCATGTGTAAGGCAGGAAAATGGAGTGCTCTATATTATAGTGAAAGAGGGGAGGAGAGGGCCACAGAGGCAAGGGGGAACTTCATGCCCACTAGGTCTAGTGCAGGCTAAGAAGTCTCTCTCCAACCCCAGCTGGTCTTATACACACCAGGCTCTTGTATTTTGCTGCACATGATGACATTGTGTTCTTTAATCAGCGTTTAAGATGACCCAAACAGTGATCATGTAAGTCTTCTTTCCTTAGCCCATGGTAGATCAAATAGGGGAAACAGGAAATGTGTGAGTTGCTTCTCTGTAGTCAGAAGTGGAACGGAGATGCACAGGAAGTGAAAGGGAGATCTGAAACATCGTGAGAACTAGTGTGGTCTTCAGAGATCTCAGACTGAAATATAAAAACACTTAAAAACATTTCATTATTTTAAGTGTATGGGTGTTTTGCCTGCATGTATGTCTGTGCACCATGTATGTGTAGCATGAATCTTAAAATGTCTTATTAATAAAATCAAACTTGAAGCCAGGTATTGGGGTGAATGCTGGAAGATCAGAGAAGCAGAACAAGCCACAGCCACCTCACCTTGCCAGTTCCTCAGCTGATCTTGTTTCCTCAGACTGAAAGCCTCTGAGTCCTCATCCAAATGGATCTCAGCTGAACTGTGCTGCTCAAAAGCCTAAAAGCTTAACCAGGCTCACGTCTTACATACCTTTCTGCTTCCTGCCATCACTTCCTGGGATTAAAGGTGTGTGTCACCATGCCTGGCTGTTTCCAGTCTGACTTTGAACTCAGAGATCCAGACAGATTTCTGCCTCCAGAATACTAAGATTAAAGGTGTGTGTGCCACCATTTTCTGGCCTCTATGTCTATCTAGTGGCTGTTCTGTTCCCTGACCCCAGATAAGTTTATTAAAGTGCACAATATATTGGGGAACACAGTATTACCACATGTATGTGTCTAATAGAAGACTTTGGATCCCCTGGAATTGAAGTTACAGGCAGTTATGAGCCACCATGTGGGTGCTGAGAATGGAACCCAGGTCCTGTGGAAGAGCAGCTAGTGCTCTTAACCACTGAGCCACTCCCATTTTTTTTTTTTTTTTTTTAAGAAATACAACTTCTTTGAATTCTTACAATGTAGTGAACAGCACATGAAAAGAAATCATCTGGAAACCTCTATTTTATTGTGTTTTACTTTTTACTGTATATCATACAAGATGGTGGGTTTCATTCAGTATGTCCTCTTCATACACGTATATATGGTACTTTTATTTTGCCCCCTCTGCATTCCTCATACTCAGCCTTCTCCTCTCTTGCTGTCCCATTCCTAGTCCCCCATAACCCGTTTTCTAATGGCCTCCATATTTTTTTTTCTAAATTCCTTTGAGGAGAGAAGACAAAAGACGTGTCTTTCTGAGTATGGCTTATTTTGCTTAGCATAGTGATCGTTAGCTCTAGTCCTTATCCTTTGAATAACAGGGTTTTGTTTGCTTTGTTTTGTTTTTTACCATAGCTATTTTGGTGGGAGTAATCTCAAGATAGTTCTGGTTTACATTTCTCTGATGGCCAAAGAGAGAGCAGCCCTTCCTTCTTTCTGCAGAAATCCAGATGGATTAGCAAACAGTTGAGCTCAATGTTGAGAGCAAATGCAGTAATATTTAATGATGGGTAATCCTCTAGAAATTGCCTTGAGAATAGGGAACCTGTCTGAATTTGGTATTTCCCTGTGTCTATGCTTGTCCCTTGCTCATAGGGAGTACTTAGTAAATGTTTATTGACTAAACTAATGAGACTCAGCCAGTGTGTCAAGAAGCAATAGTCTCCAATGTGTATTTTATGGAGTATATGGACTGATAGGTTTTTGATTCAGCTATACAGATTATATACAGATATCTTTTAGTTATGTAAAATGGTCTCCATTATTATTATTATTATTATTAATTTTGGTTTTTTGAGACAGGGTTTCTCTGTGTAGCTTTGTGCCTTTCCTGGAACTCACTCTGTTGCTCAGGCTGGCCTTGAACTCACAAAGATCTGCCTGGCTCTGCCTCCTGAGTGCTGGGATTAAAGGCGTGCGCCACCACTGCCCGGCTTGGTCCTCCATTTTAATACGGATTTTTTTCTCATCTTTTACCAGGTGTGCTTCAGCAGGGCACAGATTTTATCAGTTTAAACTGCTGCCGTATTCAGTGTTTGTGGCAAAGGAATCCTTGACAGACTGACGAAAGCTAGAGCTGATGGCATGTGAGTCTTACAGTTTTTCTTAGAGTAGGACAGTACACGTACCTGCATTGCTACAGAGTGGGCAGAATCAGCCTTTTGCAGCAGATGCCTTCTGTTCGCACGTTGGTCCATTTGTAATTGTGACCCCCCCCCCCCCCCAATTAGCTCAGTGTTGGGTACATAGGTATATCTGTGTGTACAGTACATTTAGCAACATCTGTAAAATTGCATAGATGGTCAATATGGCTTAAGTACAACCTTTAATTCGATTATTGTTACTGGCTTTACACTATCCCTTATCAGTCCCTACCTGTGTTTTCAGTGTCTACCATAGAAATTCTGACATGAACTCGGCTTCAGTGCATGGCGAATAATAATGGAATGCAAAAAGCATCAGTCAGGTTTTAGGTCAGTCTTCATCCCTTGTGGTTAGAAATTAAGGTCTTGCGTTAAAATAGCAACTGTAGCAAACAGCCAGCTTTGGTGGTTTTAGGGGCACTAAGGACTACACAGGTGGTCATTCAGGACCCATCCTGGGCTTGGTTCATGACAAGCCAGTGATATCACTCCTGATTTATTTTTGTCCCAGTGAGGTGGTATTGTTTTAGAAGTTTGAATGCCAACCCCCCCCCCGGGGGGGGTGTATGTTCTAGTTGTGATTTAGTTGGGCCTACATGGTTTACATGTGTGTCTGAGAATGTGGACTTTAGAGTTTAAGTTTCTCCCTGCCCCCTACCCCACAGATTTAATTGTCAACTTGACACAACTTAGAGTCACTGGGGAAGAATATCAGTGAGGGGTTGTCGGGTTGTCTGCACTGGGTTAGTCTGTGGACATGTCTGTGAGGAATGGTCTTAGTTAGTTGAGGTGGCAAGACCCAGCCCACTGGGGGTGGTACTGTTGTAAGGGCTGGTCCCTGAACTATGCACAAGTGAAGAGCTAGTGAAGCGTTCTTCATGCATGCCTTTCTTCTCTTTGCTCTTAGATTTGATGTGACCAGTGGCCTTGAGTTCCTGCCTTAGTTTCTCTGCAATGATGGACTGGAACTTGAAATTGTAAGCTGAGTAAACCTTTTCTTCCTGAAATTGTTTTTTTGTCTGGGTATTTTATCACAGCAATGGAAATGAAACCAGGATAGTGGTGTATACATGTGTGTATGTGTGTGTGCATATGTGATTGTGCATGTATATGTATGTGCATGAGTGTATGGATGTGTGCATGCGTGTGTGTGTGTGTGTGTGTGTGTGTGTGTGTGTGTGTGTGTGTGCGCACCAGGGAAGGACTTATGGTATTTTCTGTTTTTAATTTTAATTTTTACTTTATGGATATGGATGTTTTGCCTGCATGCATGTGCATGCCTGGACCCTTGTAGGCCAGATGAAGGAGTCATACCCCTCAGAATTGAAGTTACACATGGCTTCCTATGTGGATGCTAGAGATCTGAACTTAGTTTCTCATGTTTGTGCAGCAAGCACCCATACCCAGGGCCATCGTCCCAATCCTTAGAGTTTAAGTCTTGACTCAATCAATGAAGCTTATGATACTTCTCAAGTTAAATAATAACCACACCGAGCCATGATTCCCAGATTTGTAAATGTGGGGTTAATAGCAGTAGTGTCCTCATCTAGCTGCCTATGGTTATAGGATAGGTCAAAACGCTCAGGCAGCATTTAGCTTTGGCTCTGGCAGTTCAAAATTGTTCAGTAATCTCCAGCCGTTATTATTTTTATCTCTAGTAAGTCTACTGGCTCTTCTGTCATTTAATCTCCCGTGGAAGAGATGTCAGTTTCATAGATAGCCGTTTTCAAGGGCTAAATCACCAAGGCGCTGGCTCTGCCTTGGGAATGCCCTGTAAGGCTTGGGTGATCTTTCTACGAGCTGAATCTAAGCACATGACAGAGGGGTACAAAGGAGGCACAATCCCACACTTCTCGACTAGAAGTCAAGCCCACTCCGATGTGAGCAGGGAAGATAACCCATAGGCTGATGAAGTGACACAGATCAGCACCCATGTACAATCAGACCTCACGCAATCCACTAAAAAAAAAAAAAGCCTTTTAGTGACATCTGTCCTAGAGGTGACGCCCGGTTTAGGGTCCCGCAAAGGGAAACCTGGCACAGAGACGGAACCATGTTTCACACCCCTGTGCCTACTTCTGTGTTTGAGTGCACATGAAATGCACATCCTCACATGTATTTTAAGGAACCAGAAAGTTCGACTTTCAAAAAACATTTTCTTGTGGTGTGTATGGAGGGTGTGCAGGGTGTGTGCGCATGTTCTAGTACACATACATATCATGACGTCTGTGGGTGTTGGCAAGAGGTCAACACAGAGTATTAGTCCTCAGCATCCAACTTATTTGAGGCAGAGTCTCTTTTTCACTTTTGAGTATGCCAGTCCAGCTCACCTCTGAGCGTCCCTGGCGTCTCCAGCCTCTGTTCCCATCTTGTGATAGGAGCTCTTGGATTACAGAAGCACACTGGCAGGTCCAGTCTTATGTGGATTTTGGGGATTCAAACTGAGGTCTTCAGACTTGTGTGGCAAATACATCCCCCACTGGGCCGTCTCTTTAGCCGTGTTTGTGTTTAAAAATCTCGCTAGCATCGGTTTAAAGTCGTTTTAGAGAGAACTTCTGCTGAGGCCGTAACGTGAATGCTTGTTTCTAAGCAGAATACAGATTTTGTTTGATTTCTCTTATTCAAAGGAAAGATGGTGGCAATAGAGTTGCAATAAAAAGTGTTCCTATCTTGTTTTGGCTCTGTAGTGTAACAGTTCTTCTTGTCTTATTTAACTATCAGAAATTAGACAACGTACGTGCGAGTCTACATTTGAGGCAGGAGGTTCGGGGCAGCAGTCTATACCATGTCTCCCTTCCTTCTTACTAAAAGGAAATCTCTTTGAACTTGACATCAATCAGAATCACACACTGACATCTCACAAGGCCCCATGCAGGCTCTTCCCCAGTTTAGAAAAATCTCTATTATCTTCAGCCACTTGAAACAAAACTGGTTGTTTTAGTCCAGAATTCTGCAATCTAATGACCAGTGATTTGAGAATCACCCCCTTTGATATTGTCTTTAAACATTTGTAAACAACTTTAGATAGTGTGGGCTTTTTTTCCACTGGACATGCCAGGCGAATATTTTGACTCAGAGGTCAGCATTCCATTGCATCAACAATGCATTGTGGTGGGAGGAAAAACAAGTGGCACTTTCTATTTCTTACATGGGATGTAGGGGTGGGTGCAAAAACGTTTCTGAGGAGTATTTTCCTAGGCAGAACAACTTAGCATCTGAATACCGAATGTGATACATCATCCCAAAGAAAAACATCTCTACCCTTTGAGATGGAGCTTCTGTGAGGTCACTCTTAACCTTGATGGACTCCAGCATATCAGGGGAAATGTTACAATTAAAAAACTCATTTCATAGCAGCTGATTAAGCCTTGATTCACAATTATCCCATCTTTCAAAAGTCTCGTCTGTCTGAGCATTTGGAAAATGTGATAGCTTCATTATTTGTTTTATTTCCAAAGTTAGGGCTTCAGAAGAGCTGCACAAACTTTCCCAACCATGCAGGAAGTCATGAATAAAACATGAACATCCAGAATTTTAAATTAGAGTAATTAGACTGTATTAGAATCCAAAAAAAAAGAAAGAAAGAAAAAGATTTAACATCCATGTCAGTATGAGGAAAGATGCCCTTCATTAAATATCATCTTCCTGTCCAACATTTTAAACTGCCACTTTTAATGTAGCATGAGAAAAATAATTACTATGTACTGTGATCAAGATAATTTTTAAAAAAGTAAATGTTAGAATATCCAGGACACAACATTTCCAGACTTGAAAGATTTTTCCTATAAATTATTTGAAATTGGATAAGCAATATATTGAAATTGACACCAATATTTCAGGACTAACTCTCATAAGTAAATGATACTCTTCAGTATCATCTTTAATGACACCAATCAAGGATGTGTGTGTGTGTATGTGTGTGTGTGTGTGTGTGTGTGTGTGTGTATGTGTGTGTGTGTGTATTCAAAGTGATATATCACCCCAAAGGAAAACAGTCACTTTCTTACCCTTGATAAGTGTACACACACACACACACACACACACACACACACACACACACACACACACACAGCTGAGGCAATGCTGGGTTGGAGAATCTTCCCTGGACACAGCCCTCTTTGTCTGTACAACCCTTCCATCTACCCTGAGTGGCACAGAATTCATGGCGGCACCTATCTCCTCCACAGTGGCATAGTTAACGCAACACTACTACAACCCTAGGCTATTTGATTTCTCCTTACTGCACAGTCTGGGAGAGATTCCCCATTGCTCACAACGTCAGCTCAGCTCTCCAATGGAGAGCTTCCTGTAGCTCTTCCAGCTCCTTAAGACATAAGACTCAGTACCCTCCTCCCCATCACAGCCCCACTAGCCAGCCAGAAGGCAGGGCTCCTGCCGGCAGATTGCTCCAGCTCCACAATCACAACCCACCAGACTCTGTAATCTACAAATGCCACTCTGCCCCCCAAACACCATCCACCAGGGCATCAGCGACCCCTGGAGGCACTGACACTGCCTGCACTGATTGGAGGAAGAGATGGGTAGTTGGCAGTGTAAGAATACATTCAACAACGTAAAGAGCAATATGGCACCACCAGAACCTAATGGCTCTATAACAGCAAGACCTGAACATCCCAACATAAAAGAAGTAGAGGAAAACAACCTTAAAAATTACTTTATGAAGATGATAGAGGCCTTTAAAGAGGAAATGAGAAATTCCCTTAAAGAAATCAAGGAAAAGACAAAGAAAAAATTGGAAAAAAAATCAATAAATCCCTTAAAGAAAGTCATGAAAACCCAGAAAAAGCAATCAAACAGGTGAAGGAAACAGTTCAAGACTTGGAAATTAAAATAGAAACAATAAAGAAAACAAACCGAGGGAATTCTGGGAATGGAAAATCTGGGTAAAGGAACTACAGCAAGTATAACCAACAGAATGAAAGAGATGGAATAGAGAATCTCTGGTGTTGAAGATACTATAGAACAAACAGATTCATTGGTCAAAGAAAACATTAAAGCCAACAAAGTCATAACACAAAACATCCAGGAAATCTGGGACACCATGAAAAGACCAAACCTAAGAATAATAGGGATAGAAGAAGGAGAAGAATACCAGCTCAAAGGCACAGAAAATATATTCAAGAAAATCATAGAAGATAACTTTCCCAACCTAAAGAATGAAATGCTTATGGAAGATATAAGAAGCTTACAGAACACCGAATAGACTAGATCCCCCAAAAGTCCCCTTGCCACACAATAATCAAACCACTAAACATATAAAATAAAGAAAGAATATTAAGAACTGCAAAGGAAAAAGGCCAAGTAACATATAAAGGCAGACCTATCAGAATAACACCTGACTTCTCAATGGAGACTCTGAAAGCCAGAAGGTCCTGAACAGACGTTATGCAGACACCAAGAAACCACTGACGCCAGCCCAGACTACCATGCCCAGTAAAACTTTCCTTCATCATAGACAGAGAAATCAACATATTCAATGACAAAAACAGATTTAAACAATACCTATCCACAAATCCAGCCCTACAGAAAGCAGTAGAAGGAAAACTTCAACCCAAAGAAGTTAGACACACCCACTAAAACATAGGAAGTATATAATCACAGCAGCAAATCCCAAAGAACAGAAACACACACACACATACTTATTGGTGAAATTATTAAGGCCACTCCACGTAGTTAAAAGGGAGATTTATTTAATGGTGTAACTTACAAATGAAGGGATAGGTAGGTTGTGGGTTCTGTGAAAGCCGCAGCGCAGTCCAGCGGTGTTCTCTGGAGAACTCTCCTTGGTCTACCTCTAGTGTCCATGGTCCAAGAAGAAAGAGAGTGCGGTGCATCCCGATCTCGGGTCTTCAGGGCCCTCCCTTCGCTCTGCCTTGTAGGCGTGATAGCTACCAAAGCCTCAGTGGGGGTTGGAACTTCCAGACCAAAGCTGGAATGGCTACCCACTACACATACTACTACCAAAAAATAACAGGAATTAACAATTTAAATAGACCTATAACCCCTAAGGAAATAGAAACAGTCATTATAAGTGTCCCAACCAAAAAAAAAAAAAAAAAAA